ATATTAATCAAACTTTAATTAAGTTAGATTATATCAACTTTGTCAATATAATTGACGTATTTTTGATTTTTTGTCTATTTTACAATTTTGATAATCGAAAAAGCGTATCGCTTTGGTAATATCCAGAAATTTGTTTGCGTTGTATCTCTGGCGTCGAAGTACAAAGCTACAAGTTTAAGTATCTTTTTCAGAAAAACGGCGTCTTTTTCAGTATCTTTAGAAAAAACTCAAAAGCGTCAAACCATGTGTCATCATTGTGATCGTCTTAGTTGGTTATTAATATTCTAAACATCTTCTTGTAATTTGAAACTCTTTGCCAATAAACTGGTAATAATGAATCTACATTCTGCATACTCATACATAAGTCTAGTAGTAGTCTAACCACATCATATAAGATATGATAATGGTTCATTATGATTGGTCTGGTAATATCTAAATTATATAATTCTTCCCATATAATATTTTCACAGTTTTGAACAATGTATTCAACATAATCCTTCTTCTTTAGATTGACATATTTGCACACTGAATTATACTGTTCGTTTAAAAGTTTAAGATTGTAACAAAGAGAAAACCATCTCGTTTTTTCCACGGTATTGAATTTGTTTTCAGTTATTCCCAGAGTTACTCTTTTAAACTCTTCAAACTCTTTGACGTTAAAAGTGAAATAAAACTATTTTTATCATTATCGACAAATATTTATATTTTTGTTGCATTATTAATAAATAGACTAATTTGTTGTTTATTAATTTTTAGATAATGTATTTAAAAAATTCATAATATTGTACAATCAAGGGAAAAGTGGGATGCAGAAAAAAGGCAAATGCAAATTAAAATATAAATTTGTTTTGGTGTTTTTCGTTTTATTAATTATTTGAATAATTATTAATATTAAAAATATATTGTAATTATATAAATAGTGATATAACTGGGATGCAGGTCTTAGATTAAAACTAAACATGAACTATATTTTATTTAAAAATTTAAACAAACTAATAAATGAAGTTAAAACTCAGAATTATTATTAATCAATTGGAACAACAATATTACTTGTTTGTACTTTTAAAGAGACCATTTGAGTGCTGGTGTCTATTTTATATATGAAATATATATTATACCTCCACATCAACTATCACACAGAACAAAGAAAGTAAAAAAATGATAATATTTTATGAGAACGATGAAAGTAAACAAATTCAATTGGCACTTCTACAAACTTATAATATATTATTTATTCCTTTGCATATTTAATTCAAAGTGATGTCCAAGCCTACTTTTTTAAACAATGCCAAAAAATTGTTTCCATTGTAGAAACAGTGTTGTGCGTTGACTACAAATTACGTGATTATATTAAACTAGTTTTATTTCAACTACTTTTTATTTAGCATTACAGTTGATAGTATTCATGACTGCTTATCTAAATGCACATATTTATTTATTTATTATGTTATATGGTTATGATTGTATTGAAAATAAACATATAACAAATTACCTATTGGTGGAGTCGTCATTCTTCAAGTCAACATTAAAATACATTTGAAAATTTACGAAGAAAAATTAATCAAAAAATGAAAGATATGAACAGTCGATTGTTCAACAAAAAAATGTTGTGGTTTTATTCTATTTTTTAATAAAAATACTGAATCAATCAAAATTTAGAAGTATTAAGAAAATTTATTTTATACTATAAACAATAACCAATAATTGCAAGCATCCTATTTTTTTGGCATCTTTTTATTTACTCCTACTGTAATTTTGAAATTGTGATTTTCAAAATTTTTATCCTGAAATGAACGAATATAATTTGAATATGAAAAAGCACCCTTTAAATCTAATAACAAAAAAAAACAAAATTATAATATTATGAATCCCCGTGTTTATAAAGTGCATGACTGTGATATAGTCTATAATTTAGCTCGTTAAATATAAAAACTCGTTAAATATTTTTAGTGTTTACTTTCTCGTGTTCTCTTCACTGGTCATGTTTTCAAAGTGATTTCTCAAATGTCCCGAGGTGTTCCGGAATGATCCCCTAACGTAATGGAGCAAAAAAATCCCAAAATGATCGACCCCCCTAGTGTATAGTGTAGTGGGATAATCCACCTTGGGATAGCGAGTATAATCGCAGCGTGAGACCAAGTTGGATTCACGAAGCCCTGGGGGGCGTCGTTCTTTTGTTTCACAAAAAAGCGTAATGAAGGCGGGGGTGAGGGGAGGAACACGTTCCTTCTTTCTAGTAAAAATTTTAATTTATTTTACTATTATTTTTACTATTCTATAAGCCAAGGCGGATTTAATATATCTTAGTAAAAATTTTTATTATTTTTACTATTTTATAACCAAACATGGCGATAAAAAACTTAATAAAGAATAACGCCCAGCCCGTGGGTCTTTAGTTTTCTGAATGTTCAGCAAACGTAAATGGTTCACTGAACATTTCCTCCCTTGTCTCAGCTGCTGTCTCAGCCGGCTTTTCTAGCTTTTCTCTTCTTTCCGCCTTCTCTATTTGCTTCCATTGGTTGGCAACTTCATCAGCCTCTTCGGGTTTATTAGAGGTATTACCCCATCCTCTAGCATCATGGTTATTTTTCCTGCTATCCAGCTCTTAGCATCGTTTACGAGCTCTTCCGGCAACATTTTTCTATATTGTGGAGAAAACTTTTTCTCTAATTACCAGTTTGGAGTTATTACTGCATCAGCGGGTTTCTCTCCGACATTTTCTTCCTTGACTGTTTTAACGTATTGTATGTCGAACATTTTTCTTCAACTATTCTTCTCAATAGCTGCTTTATGGAGTCCCATACCTTTTTTGTGTTGTGATTGACGAACATCTCTTCTAGAGTGCACGGTGCTGTAATAAATATTTCTTCGGCACACCATGGCATTTGACCTCCCTTGACGTTTACATAAAGCGGATGTTTGTCCAACAACTTAATGAGAAATGCCCAGTCGAAGGTGTCTCTATTAATTTCGTCAAATATCACTACTCTCTGTCCATTGTACCCAAGGAGAAATTCACTTTTAGTCATCTCAACAAAAAATTGTTCTTCGCTGTTAGTTTTACCACACATAGTTGGTCCATAGAACCAGTGAACATTTACATTTCTCATATTAGTTTTTTGCAATCTCTTTCAGTTTCATTCCTGTGAGTACTTTTTTAGCAGACAGTACCATACTTTATTACATTTGTTCTTTTGTCAGACTTGACATGAGTTTCTTTTTCACCTCGTCTTTCCCCACTGGAGTTTCACCTTCTTCAATCCAGTCGCCATCTTTCTTTACATAGTCTCTGCTTGCTATTACATTTACCACCTTCTCATAATGTCAGTGGTATAACTTTTCCGCTAGAAGTTCTTTCCCAATGTTTAAGAAATTCTCTTTTTGATGCCTGCCTTATTGTCTAGCATGACCAGAGCATGGAGGTTTTTGCCTTCCGTTTCATGATGGTCTTTTTTGCATACGCATATGTATTTGACCCCCTTGCTAAATAATGTTCCTTTCAACTGCTTCAGCACCAACACTTTATCTATGTCGCACTGTGGGTACGTCAGATAAAGGTTCTTCGCATCAATTTGGAAGTCTTTTTCCTCTGCCTTAGAAAGCTTTTTTACCACTGCCTTAGTGGGTTTGTTTGCGGCTTGAGACTTCCTGCGCTTTTATTTTCATTTGGTCTTTGGGTACTCATAGTCGTTTGGCGCGACTAAAAACGAAGTGCCTTTAATATTACAGGCACGAGGCGTAGCACCACTTCTATGTTGGCCCACGCTTGGCTGTGTCTTCGGGACTTTGCTTAATAATTAGGATGCTGGCGCCTGGCGCCAACCTAATTATAGCTCGTTTCATCCCTATCCCTTTGTTTTCATATTTAGATATGTTATTTTTTTGTTTTATATTTTAACGCCACCATATATTCAAATAATTAAACATAGTTTGTTAACTTGGTGATTATCGATGATACTTCATATCTCATTTTATATTTCTTTATTTTATGATTCAATAAAATTTTTATTTTAAATTACATTAAAAGTTTACTTCGAATAATGTTAAATTTTTATTGTTCATAATATCGACCAAATAACATCACGATCAAATTGCTTAAATGAACACTTATGAAATTTATTTAGAATATTTAACTTGCTTTAAAAAAATTTAAAAAAAATTTAAACAAGTATAAAAAAATATTTATATATAATAATGTTTTTTATTTATAAGTGATAATTTTTCGATTTATTTAAACTATATAAATACATTTATTTAAAAAAATTATAAGTTATACATATAAAAAAACAAAAACTTTTTAATATTATTTGACTAACACAAAGCATAAAAAATATTTTATTTAAAAAAATTATGGAACAAAGGCTGAGCAGTCACACCAGCAGTATTAACACACTTGTTTGCACCTACAGTACCAGAAGGTGAAACACAGACTGAAAACAAGTTAGTACACTTAAACTTGTGAAACTTAGTGTCAGCACTCTGAAAAGCCTTTTTACGATAAGTCGTCTTTTTAACATAAGAGTGGAAACGGCGAGTGCGACGAGTACTTCTGCGAGATGTCTTCCGAAAAAACCTCTTTCGGAAAGTAGAAGACGAGTGACTAAGCGAACCATATAACTTTTATTTGTATTCAGATCTTAAATTTAAAAAGTTACATCAAGATATTTTTAATAAATTAAACTATAGTAGAAAACCATTTAAAAAAATAAAAAGAAAATAATTAAAAACTATAAGGAAATAGTTTATTATAATTTAAGCACTAGGGCTAGGGATCAGAAATCTATAATTAGTTTGGCGCTAGGCGCTAGTATCCTAATCTTAGCCAAAGTCCCGAGGGAACAGCCAAGCGCGGGCCAACACAACAGTTTTGGCGCTATCGCTGAGTGCCTTGTAATATTATAAAGGCACTGGCGACAGCTAAAAAACAGACGCAACACATGAGCTTTTTATATGAGCAATTTACCTCAAACGAGCTTTTGGGATTTTTGCAGTACAACCTAATGGCCTATAAGGAGGGAAGCTGGTATTTAGAAGAACAATACCATAAAGCCGCAATAGAGCTGATAAAGAGGTGCTACGAACCAGCAGTAGATGAGCAAGCATTCTGGTTCTGCATACAAAATGCAGATGACTGGTATTTGCACTTGAATGGGGAGCTATCAGATATTGCATGGAACTTCATGCTAGACTTTCAAGAAAATACCCCAGCTTGGCTGAGAGAAAAAAACCAGAGCGAAATTTATGAAGACGATATGGCAGCTTTCAAAAGAAGAAACAGAATCCCATTAAATTGGGACTTAAACCACGCATTAAGAGAAAAAGTGAGAATGATGATAGAAATCGGGAATATACCAGATCAAGACACCAAAGAAGACTAAAGACCCGCGGGCTGGGCGATTTTCTTTAAAAAAGTTTTTTATTGCCACCTTAGCTTATAGAATAGCAAACATAATAGTAAAATAAATTAAATTTTTACCAAAAATAAGATAGGGAAATACCTCTAGAAAACCCAGAGGAAAAAAAAGTAAATAAACCGTCCCAAGACTAAAGACCCACGGGCTGGGCGTTATTCTTTATTAAGTTTTTTATCGCCATGTTTGGTTATAAAATAGTAAAAATAATAAAAATTTTTACTAAGATATATTAAATCCGCCTTGGCTTATAGAATAGTAAAAATAATAGTAAAATAAATTAAAATTTTTACTAGAAAGAAGGAACGTGTTCCTCCCCTCACCCCCGCCTTCATTACGCTTTTTTGTGAAACAAAAGAACGACGCCCCCCAGGGCTTCGTGAATCCAACTTGGTCTCACGCTGCGATTATACTCGCTATCCCAAGGTGGATTATCCCACTACACTATACACTAGGGGGGTCGATCATTTTGGGATTTTTTTGCTCCATTACGTTAGGGGATCATTCCGGAACACCTCGGGACATTTGAGAAATCACTTTGAAAACATGACCAGTGAAGAGAACACGAGAAAGTAAACACTAAAAATATTTAACGAGTTTTTATATTTAACGAGCTAAATTATAGACTATACCCATCTAAAACGTCCATTATAAACGAATTCCATTTTCACACTTGCAAGGAACCGGCAGTTAAAATATTTTTGTTAAAATGTTTTTGGGGTACAATACAAAATGCGAAAAAAGTACGAAAAAAGTACCAAAAAGTATGAGGTCAATACAAAATGCGAAAAGTACGAAATAAAATATGCGAAAAATTTTCGATTAGGAAAAAAAATGTAACTAACGTGCAGTAAAAAGTCAAAAAATCATAACGACAAAAAATTAATAAAAATATTATAATATATAATATATAATAAAAATAGAAAATAGAACATAATAAACTATTAAAAACTAATAAGAAAAACCATTAAATAAAATAACGATCACGCTCCAAAGGAGTCAAGCTCGTGTAGAGTTCGTCAATATCAGAGGTATTAACAAAGACATAACGGGAACTACACCCAGGTTCAATATAAGTAGGCAAACGGACGAGAAAATAAAGAGTAGTACCCCTATCCAAATCAGTGATTTCTCGAGCGCGGAACCCGTCGAGTAGTAAGTCTTTAAATTCGAAAACATCGATGTCAGAAGCGGTCTCCCCGATAAAGGATTCATAACTATCTAGTTGAAAAGTCATAAGCATGCTTTTATAGTTTAAAATAAAAATACAACAACAAGGAGTAAATTAAAAATAGATCACGGTGTAACAGTAATAATAGTATCTGGAATAGGTGGAGGATTTGAAGGTGGAGTAGTGTCAAGTTTATCTCCTTTTTGTACAGTACAGTTTTTAACATACACGTTAGAGAGTTTGAGATTAACAACAGACATTCTAACTTGAGAATCAGTAGTACTGCCAAATTTACTATAATCATATGTAAGACTGAAATTTTTGTTTATTCTTCCATCCGGATAAGTTTGTAAAGCAGGAATATCGAATATTGCACATGGATCATTCGTATGAATCAAATACCAATTAGAAGAAACATTAGTTCTTTCAGTATTAAAGACATGATCAGCAGTACCTGTGTAATTAAATACAATAACCCCTTCTGGTGAAAAAACGACAGCAAGTGTATAAAATGCAGAAAACGTGACACTTACAAATGAACCAGCACTATAAGATTTTGCCATACAATTGCCTAATGGAACCGTGTGATGAGCTCTATCTGGAGAAATATATGTAAAAGATTCAACATATAAACTAGAAACATCAGGAGGCATTTGAGGTTGTACAACTGGTTGAACTATAGGCTTCACAATTTCAGCAGATGTCTGTGAAAGTACATTCGCAGTAGGAAGCATAAGCAAATGTGGAGCAGTCATTGGAAGAGGATCTTCTTGAGCATGACTGCCTTTAAACGACACATTAAACTCCCACTCAAGTATGAAATTGAATGACTGAATACCAGTAGAAGTATTAGGAATTAAAACATTAGTGTTTGAACCAGAAGCAGATTGAAAAGCATCTGCTGTCACTGCACCACTTTGCATGCAAAGAATTCCCATAAGGAAAACCGGATTCCACAAGTGACTATCAGACTCTGTAGATAATTTAGTTAAAAGTGATTGGATATTTTCAGAACCAGTAGAAGAAGTAAGTGGGTCAGTGCGAGCATAAGTATTTTTCTCTTGAGGAGAAATGGCCTGAATAAACCGCAGACTGCTAAAAGAAGTCGCATTCAAGTTACACTGTCTAGTAACCTTGGATGACAGGCGACAAAGATGGGAATAATCGGGAAGTTTATTCTCCTCTATACCATCACGATCTCAAGCTGTAGTCACATAATGAAGAGAATTCAGAGTATTATCAGTCTGAGAAGTAGTAGGAAGAATTTTAACTCTAGCTCCGTTCAACTTCCACTGCTCAAAGTCTTTACACTTAGTGATGAATTCCTTAGAATTGAAAAGTGTATGGAACAAAGGCTGAGCAGTCACACCAGCAGTATTAACACACTTGTTTGCACCTACAGTACCAGAAGGTGAAACACAGACTGAAAACAAGTTAGTACACTTAAACTTGTGAAACTTAGTGTCAGCACTCTGAAAAGCCTTTTTACGATAAGTCGTCTTTTTAACATAAGAGTGGAAACGGCGAGTGCGACGAGTACTTCTGCGAGATGTCTTCCGAAAAAACCTCTTTCGGAAAGTAGAAGACGAGTGACTAAGCGAACCATATAACTTTTATTTGTATTCAGATCTTAAATTTAAAAAGTTACATCAAGATATTTTTAATAAATTAAACTATAGTAGAAAACCATTTAAAAAAATAAAAAGAAAATAATTAAAAACTATAAGGAAATAGTTTATTATAATTTAAGCACTAGGGCTAGGGATCAGAAATCTATAATTAGTTTGGCGCTAGGCGCTAGTATCCTAATCTTAGCCAAAGTCCCGAGGGAACAGCCAAGCGCGGGCCAACACAACAGTTTTGGCGCTATCGCTGAGTGCCTTGTAATATTAGAGGCACTTCGCTTTTAGTAGCGTAGAGACATTATGAGTAAACCAAATGAAGAATTTTTCAGAGGCTATACGTCTCAGGAGCAGGTTGGGCGCCAGCGCTACGTGCTTTAAAAATATTAAAAGGCACGGTGCCAGCTAAAAAACAAACTTATCATGAGCAACTTCAATAAATAAAGTGTTTTTCAGGGGCTACACCTCTCAGGAGCTGTAGGCAGTTTACATCCTAAACTGCAACAGCGAACTTGAAAAATTATAAGAGCTGGCCAACAACTGTTTAGTGGCTCTGTTCAGGAGAATCGCTAGAGATCCACAATCTGTGGACTCGGAAACATTTAGAAGAGTCTGTCTTCTAATGGATAGACTGGTTATGGAAAACGGTGGAATTTTTGGCCACGAAGCGAACAACACATGCTGGAGCAAGGTTTCCCATATTTTGGTATGTCAAAAATTGCGCCAATAAAAACTAGCAATATTTTTAGGGTCTCTTAAACCCTATTATATTTTTCCTGTTTTTATTATGCCTTAAGATAATAAACATTCGGAAAATTATAAAAGTTAAAATTAAAGCCAAAAGACAGGACATATTAACAAATCAATTATGATAATCAGAATCAATTAACTTTAAAAAAATACTTCCGATATAATTTCTTTTGGGCTTTACTATGTAAAAAATTACATTTATTAGTGTTAAACAATGGAAATGTTCGAAATAAAAAAGCCTCATATAAATAAAATGGTTTATTACCTATTTTTTGAAAACATTGAAACGACAGGACATAGTCCTGAAAACAAAAAATGTAACCATTAATAGAAGCTAATTTACAAGTGGTGTTTTGACAAATAAACAAGTGAAACAATAATATTTTACATTTTTTCATTTTGTTTTTCCGTTGCCTTCCGTTGCTTTATTACATTGTTTTTTGTCTTTCACTTTATTAAACAAAAGATTAACTGTTTCTGTTTTACTTTTCAAACGATTAATCATATATTTTAGTATGTTTATAATAATTTTTTATAAACAGAAGGGTTTTTAATTGCTAATTTTCATATATTTTGCTAGAATAAAAACATAGTTTTTTTTTTCTTTCGGCAATTACCATATTATTTTTTTCTTAGAATAAATTACCTTTTTTCGGCAATTTTTTAAATTGTATATTATAATATATTTATGGTAATTTTAATAAAATTGTATATTATTATATTATTGTAATAATTAATTATTTTAATTTGAATAAATATAAAAATTATTTGATAGATAATTTATATTTCACGATAATAATATATTATCTTTAGTATAATTTCAATTTTAATTAAATTCTTGAAAAAAAATAAAAAAAAATTGTCAAAGTTTTTTATAATATGAATTATTAATTTAAAATAACTAATAAAAAAATCATTTATTTGTTTTTCCTCTTTTGATGTTTATAACTCGTTCTTTTGATTCGGTTGGCATTATAGGATGTTCCAAATTATTGACTTCAGAAAAACCACGTTCGACTGGGCAAGATGAAACACTTTTGACTGTTATTACATCAACAATTATATTACGATATGGATATTTGACCCTTTCTTCATCTGGCATTATATCCAAAATATTTTAAAATATGAAAAACTGTACATAACATTTTTGGTTGATTTCTTCAATAGCTTTGCCGAGTTCTTTTCTCATTTCTTGTCTTTTAAAAAGAATGTGATCATACTTTTCTTTTTGCTCGTGTGTTAATTCTGATTCATCTATGTCATTATCATCGTCATTTTCTTCTGCGTCATTTGATCTAACAATTCTTTTGACATTTCATCAGATAAGAACGGTTTTGATCTTACTCGTTTCACATTTTTTTCAAGAAATGAAGTACAAATATTTATTTGTTTTTCTTCTTCGGCCTTTACTTTTTATTTTACAATAACAGCGTTGTCTTCTCTCCATTTTTGCAATGTTCTAATTTCTGTTTTTATACTTTCATCAGATTCATCAGACAAACAATCTTCATTCATTTCACTAAAAACGTGAACATATTCAAAAATGTACTTTTGTTCAGTTTTTTTGGAATATTGCATCGAGTCAAATAAATTGTTATTAAGAGAACAGTTACCAAATATGTGTTGTGGACCTTTTACCATTCCAGTTTTAAGTTGTTCAAAGTCCTTTATTTCTGAGAAACACTCAAATAGTGTATTCAACACATTTGCCAGAAAGAGCCACCTTGTGTTGCTGAGCTTGACAATTTTGATAACTGCTCCAGTTATTTCCTGTTCTTTGCAATATATATCCCAGGTTTTCCGAGTTTCTGAAGATGTCAAATTCATTTAATAGTCTTTGATTTGACTTACATTATCAATATCAAAAGTCTTTTCTGAAGCTTAATTTGTTCGATGGCAGAAGCAATAAATTGAATCAAATTATGTGTTGTCTTTTCTAACTTTTTCTATCTCTGTCAGATAAAACCAGAAAGACCACTCTTTTCACTTTATTAAAACAATAAATAAACAAATGTTGTATCCGAAACATTTTTGGGCATAAATTTACTCTGAAATTTAATTTTAATTTTTCTTTGTAAAAAGATAATAAAATAATATAAAAACAGGTAAAAACTACAAATTCTATTTTTTGTGAATAAAAAAGAGACTATAAAAAATCCAGATTTTACCAAATAAAATGAGGTTGGGTAATATGAACATTCCCGAAATATTACTTAATCTAAAAATTTGTGATTATCTCTTTTTTAAAATACGGTTAATATACAAATAGAATATTTAATGGGCGCAAATAAAAATAAAGTTTTTTGATGCAAAAATATGGGTTTTTAATTTTATTTTTATTTTTTTTCACTAAAAATAATTAATATAAAAATCAGTGCCGAACTTATTTCATTTGTTAAAATAATTATAACATTTTATATTTTTTCTATCTATTTCAATTACAGTTAGTTTTACAACAATTATTTATTTTTCATAACAAATAGATTTGTACCTTTGTTCAGCCCCGTTTCAAAATAATTATTTTTTTTGTTGCACAATTTGCGTGATTGTTGCATATCAATATTTGATGTTTCAGAACTATTTATCCTCAAATCAATAATTTATTGTTCCAAAACAAAACAATGTTTCATAATTATTGTATTTTGTTTTAAAATAATATAGTATTATTGTAAAACTGCATTGTATTGTTTCACAACAAAACGTTATAAATCAACAAAAAACACAAACTATAAACTAAAAAAATAAAGTAATGGCAATCGCATCTTTTGAGTTCATCCACCGAGATAAAGTCGAAGGATTCCTTAATCACGAAAAGGTTTCCTTAGTTGTAGAAGCACCACAACCAGTGGAAATAGCAAAAAGAAGAACAGCCGATGACATTGTTGCCTTATTAGTCCCACTACCATTTCAGCCAATTGTACACACAGCTCAACAATTGAATAATGAGAGGACTAAGAGGATTTATGTTGTCGTAACAGAAACACAGAGGAAGATGTTAACTGAAGAATACGCTGAATGTGTGAAGGCAAAAGACTGGAAATACTATGGTGAAAAAAGTCGTATTTGCGAGTATTTAGTTAAGAGATTATATGGATAATTTGCGAAAGGAAAAAACATCTAAACTAAAAAGAAGGAATAAAGTTTAAATATAGTTCAGCACTTTTTTCTGTCGTCGCTAAAAAGGTGTCAATTGAAGGAAAAACTCTCAGTGAAACTAAAAAGGTTCTCGCAGAAGAAAAGGTGAAAAAATGAATTGGGGGAGGAACTTGACTTTGAAATTGTTAGTGTGTCAACAATGTGTCGTTATATCAAGAACAAGAATATCATGGAAGAAGCGAACCTTCCTCATTTGTCTTTTACCGAGGTTACTATCAGGGGAGTCCAAACAAATACCAATGAGAACAAGCAATTCAGAATCGAAAAAAGAAGAACCTTGCAGCAATATATGGACTTTGGTATGCAAGTGGTGTTTGTTGATGAAAATCATTGGGAAGTCGGCAACGTTCGAAGCAAATTGTGGGGGAAAGAGGCAAAAAACACATCAGAGAACAGCCTCTTGCGACTTTTAATTTGTCTTGCGTTTGTGCCATTAGCGACACTGGTTCTAAGTATTGTAAATTGTTTAATAAAGTAGTTGGTGGTGCAATATTTACACGATATTC